GAGTGTAGCATCAGCACAACCGACCCCATGTGCTGGTAAGTGCCTGGCCTAACCCCGGCGAAGTAGTGACGAGGCTAGACAAGACCTACCAAAAACAACCTGTGCAGATATATATGTATATACAAGTGCAACGAAATAACAGCATAAAATACCAATTAAGGCGGGGAAGGGACATGCTTAGGGGAAATACAGATGAAAACAACTTATCAGAAGTAAACACGAAACTACATCAGATCTCATAATCTATATAAGTGGTCGGCGTGCCACACGATCCCATTTCAGCAAATATAAGTGGTCGGCGTGCCACACGATCCCATTTCATATTATATAAGTGGTCGGCGTGCCACAAGATCCCATTTCATAATATATAAGTGGTCGGCGTGCCACACGATCCCATTTCATAATATATAAGTGGTCGGCGTGCCACACGATCCCATTTCATAATATATAAGTGGTTTCCCGGCAAGGGATAATACGACTAAGCAGATAAATCCCGGCAAGGGAGCAACAACAATAACTTACACGTCCCGGCAAGGGAATAATCACATCTCTTTCTCTTACGTTCATTTCTTACTTTTTAATCAAGTCAAAAATCGTTCCAACGCTCCAAAGAGTTTACACATCATATTTCCTTCTCATTCTCTTCATATCATATAGAAACCATCAATTAACAAGGAAGAGTCACTACAGAATCCCATTTAAGCACAAATAAAGACCCACGGTCATGCTAGACACCGGTGTATAGATACTCGTCACCATGCCTATACACCGTACTCAACATTTAGCAATTAGCAAATAATACTCTAATCCTATTCCCTCAAGCCAAAGTTAGATCAAACACTTACCTCGAATGCTCCAAACTCAACTCAAGCCTCTAGTATAGCTTTACCACTCAAATTCGGCTCCAACACAGTCAAATCTATGAAATAATGACCTTAAAATATTAATAATAGCTAAACAAACTAAACCCAATGCCTAAATATGAATTTCTAAGCTTTCTTCCCAAAATTCAAAAAATCGACCCCGGGCCCGCTTGGTCAAAACCCGAAGTTCGAACCAATTCCATGTTACCCATTCCCCCACGAGCCCGGATATACAATTTGTTTTCAAATTCGACCCCAAAACGAGGTCTAAATCAAAGAAAATCAAAAAGCCCTAATTCTACCCTTTTTCCCCCAATTCCAACCCTAGATTACATGATTTAGGCTTAGAAACTCATTAATTAATGAAGGAAGATGAAGGAAATGAGTGGGGAATCACTTACCCAAATGGTCTTGAAGAATGGGGGCTTCAATGGAGTTCTAGAGCTTGGGGAAAAAGAGAGCTCGTGTATTTTTGAAGGAATCCCGTAGCTACTATTTTGAACATTTTAAAAAAATCACTGGGCGTTTTTGTGCTACGCGTTCGCCACAGGAGTGTCGCGTTCGCGTACAAGGGGGAGTTGGAGAGCTACGCGTTCGCGAGGGAAGGACTGCGAACGCGAAGAGGAAGTACTGGGGGGTCCAAAGAATTGGCCTACGCGAACGCGTCGACCATCACGCGAACGCGGAGAAGGAAAAGGCAAATCAACGCGATCGCGATGGCCTGAACGCGAACGCGAACGCGAAGAAGGGTGGCCTCAAAGCTATGCGAACGCGAAGGGGTATTGCGAACGCGAAGAAGGATTCTTCTGAGTAAAAATTGTAGAAAAATCTGATGCCTTCCTAAGTTCAAAACCATCCCGAACACCTCCGAAAATACCCCCGAGCCCTCGGGGCTCCTAACCAATCACACACACTAACTCAACAACATCCTACGAACTCAACCGTGCGATCAAATCGCCAAAATATCATCAAAATCATCACTTTTTCATCAAACTTCATAAACCTTCATTTTTAGATATTTAGGTCCGAAACACGTCAAATGACGTCCGATTTCAACCAAATTTCACAGAAAGCGCTTAAACCACATATAAGACCTGTACCGGGCGCCGGAACTAAAATACGGGCCCGATACCAACACGTTCTAATCCATTTCCTTTTCAAATTTCCATATTAATTTCTGAAAAACAATTTCACAGAAAAATTCATTTCTCGGGCTCTCGACCTCGGAATTCGACTCCGGGCACATGCCCGAGTCTCATATTTTTCTACGGACCCTACGGGACGGTCAAATCACGGGTCCGGGTCCGTTTACCAAAAATATTGACCAAAGTCAACTTTAATCATTTTAAAGCCACATTTTGAAAATTTTCACAGAATTTAACATATAATCTTTCCGGCTACGCGCCCGGACTACGCACACAAATCGAGGCAAGTAAAAATGAGGTTTTCAAGGCCTCGGAAGCACAGAATGAAAGAGAAAACAGGTGATGACCCCTTTGGGTCGTCACATTCTCCATCTCTAAAACAACCGTTCGTCCTCGAACGGACAAAAGAAAGGAGTACCTGAGTCGGGAAATAGATGAGGATAACGGTTCCACATATCAGACTCGGACTCCCAGGTCGATGCCTCAGGAGGCTGACCTCTCCACTGGACACGCACTGAAGGAAAACTCTTCGACCTCAACTGTCGAACCTGCCGGTCTAGAATAGCTACCGGCTCCTCCTCATAAGACAGATCCTTGTCCAACTGGACAGTGCTGAAATCTAATACGTGAGTTGGATCGCCGTGATACCTCCGAAGCATGGACACATGAAACACTGGATGCACGANTAATCCATTTCCTTTTCAAATTTCCATATTAATTTCTGAAAAACAATTTCACAGAAAAATTCATTTCTCGGGCTCTCGACCTCGGAATTCGACTCCGGGCATATGCCCGAGTCTCATATTTTTCTACGGACCCTCCGGGACCTTCAAATCACGGGTCCGGGTCCGTTTACCAAAAAAGTTGACCAAAGTCAACTTTTATCATTTTAAAGCCACATTTTGAGATTTTTCACAGAATTTAACATATAATCTTTTCGGCTACGCGCCCGGACTGCGCACGCAAATCGAGGCAAGTAAAAATGAGGTTTTCAAGGCCTTGGAAGCACGGAATGAAAGAGAAAACAGGTGATGACCCCTTTGGGTCGTCACACAATTACTTAACCAACTTCAGGGATTGTTGACATCAAATTCTTGAAACATCAAGTTGACTTTTGGTAATTTGGACTGTGAGCTATTAGAAACAGGCACATCCGATATTTGTGAGGCCTATCCCAAGGGTGTGGGTTGAGAGGTTTCAAAAGGAATGGAATACGACTGGGAGGGTTAATTCAAGAGTTGAAGGGTAAGAAATAGGTTGGTTTATTGGGATCGTAGAGAATGAGCTAACGGGATTGGTAAAGCTGTGGTTCATGAACATTGGGTAGGTTTGAGGCTAAAGGGTTGGGTTAACATAGGGTGTGAGTTAATATGTGAAAAATGAGGTATTGACGACGTTGGCTTTTTATGTTTATCCAACATTTCGAATGCCAAGAGCTAAGGCTCTGATACCAAATTGTAGCGTTCGAGCTTCTAAATTGCAAGGGAAGAAAGAACAATAAAGCAAAAGAAAAAATTAAATAAAGAGAAAAGATTTCATATTATCAAAAATGTTGACAGGTGTTCGATTCTAGAACCTTATATAAGACAAAAAGACTTTAGTTAATGGAAAGAAAAGCTAAGGTGTGAAAACAAAAATAACAAAACTATATACAGTACTAATAGGAACCAAAAGAAACTTAAGGACTTAAATTATTATCACATCATCTCTCTAACTTAGTCAACCGGAGCTCCTCTACCATATTCGCCGCGACATTAAGGATTTCAACCTAATAGTGACCCTTAATATATGTGTTCACAAACCTGCAATTCTTTCTAGCTTCACCATTCACATAAGTGTCAGGATTCGTAATGTTCCCTAATTTTACCATGGACTCCGCGAATTGCTCGAAGAATGCAATTGGATTTGCAGCATATTCCTCAACAAGCTTCTTTGTTTGAAATCCAAGGAAACTTGAATAGAGTTCTTGGTCTGAATTGATGAGTCCTTCTCCTCTAAGCAAAACATGGTAATTAGAATTGTCAAATAAATTGGGCGTAACATAGTCCATGGCTGTTTTATTGTTGTCTGATCCAATAGGAGGACATACTGATTTCAAGTTGCTAAGGTATGTCCGAGAAATTGGATTCAATGAAGTAGTCATTGGGAAATCTCCATATATTCTCTTCTTGAAATTCACACAGCGAGTCTTCCCAATTGTATGGGCACCTGTCGTTTTTAGCAAGCCAAGGACAAGATTTTGTTTAAGTTTCACGAAGAAACTGTAGAATTAAGTAGAACAATTCATAATAGTAGAATACTTACCAGAAAGAGCAACCATATCAGTAACAGAAAGGCCCTGAGATATAAACTTAGAAATAATATAAATAAGCCCTTCATCAGCTGTTGGAAGATTTGTATCAGTTAAGGCATATCCTCCACTTCTTGAGTCTTTTCTACCTAATGGCACATCCCAATATGGTCCACCAACCTGCGACCAACAAACACATTACTCCCTCCGTTTCAATTTAAACGATTTAGTTTGACTTGTCATAATATTTAAGAAAAAAATAGAAGACTTTAGTAATATGTGATCCTAAAAACTTAATGCGCAAAAGCTTTGCAGGGCCATAACATTTGTGTGTCTATAAAAGCTTCTCATTAAGGGTAAAATGAAAAGTTTAAAGTTAAGTTGTTTCCAAATATATAAATGTATCATTCTTTTTGGAACGTCCTAATAAGGAAAGTGTTATTTAAATTGAAACAGAGAGAGTATTTATTAAGTACCAGTTAAGCTTAGTCCTATAATAATACTAAAATTAATTTAATTACTGTGCACTAATAGTATATTGTAGTTTTACACCATCAGATTAAGTTAACCTACAACGACAAGTAATATTTATAACAAAACTTGATCTATTAACATGTTATTGCCAGTTAAATTGCATTGGCAGTAAAATGCTGAATTAAACTAATGACTAAACTAAGAAACCTAAACACAATATACTAATTTTAGTAATACAATAATTACCAGAAGAACTGCATCTCTGGCAGCTACTGTTAGAATATCAGCACAAGAAACAATTCCAGGGCACTCTGATTCAAGCCTGTTTTTAATTCTATCAATAATTCTGAATCCTTTCAATGCATTCTTGTTGTTGGGTGCTTTCTTTTCTCCTTGTAAATTTACCATATCGTCCAGCAATACCGAGCCGTCGCAACCCTGAGAAAATTCAAGCATTTTTTTCAGCAGCTTCAAGCCTTCAACTGGTTTTTGTAATTACAAGCATAAATTAAACTGTTTTACCAAAAAAAATTAGTTGAGTTTGAAATGATGATTATTACTCCCTCCGGTTCCCAATATTAGTCATTTTTGCGTTTGTATTAAATTTTTGATATTCTAGAAAGAGTAAGTTTATGCATTGATGGGGTAAAAAATATTTATACAATCATGTCATAATTAAGCATTAACTAGTAATCTGATGAAAGAAGCAAGTAACATACTATTATAGATTAAAATTCACCGATAACACTTATACTATAAATGTGTATAACTTACATCCTTTAGAAAAACTATTAAGAATTTCTTACATTTTTCTCAAACTCACTCTTAATGCTCCAATTAGTTGACTGTCAATTAAGTGGGGCATTTAAGAAAGACAAATGATAATTAGAGAAAAAAAAATCTACAATTAGGGCTATTAAATAATTTTTTCGGGTCCAGTGCATTAGTTACGGATTACCGTGAACCTAGTAACTTTTGCCTAGATCCTATATTTGTATTGAAAAATTCATTAAATGTATAAGAATATTTAGTCTGGAACCCAGTCAGGTAATTCAGTTATTATTGTATATTAACTTAAGATTTCTGTAGAAACCCATAAACTTAAAATCCTGGATCCGCCTCTAGGTGCGAAAGCTTTAAATGATAGATAAAATGGACTGGATGTAATATTTTCTTTTTACCTGAACAAAGCAGTCATGGAAATGTAATCTCAAAATCAAAGCAGCATTACGAGGATCAGAAAGATAGGCACATGCCATTTCTTTCCTCACAATTTCAACCACAGAAGGACAAGTTGATTTGTAGTAATCCAAACTTAAATGTGGATCACTAATTCCATGCAAACAGCTATTAAAAAATATGCCAAGTACCAAAACCACGCATTCCAAATTCAGAATTCTCGAGTTAAGAGAATAATTATAAGCCATTTCTTTTAGATAATTTCTTGCTTTGCTAGTAGCTTTCTGAGGCTAGTTTGTAGTAAAGAGAAAGATTAAAAAACAAAGATGATTAAGACTGTGAGTTATATAGTAGAGAAGAAAGAAGTTAACTTAAGAATTTGGAGAAATGGACATCATTTTCCTAGTCACATGTCTGGTTAATTCCTATGTGATTTTAGTATAATTTGTAAGAATTGTATAAGTAGTCAACAGAAGATGTAACTAATATTAGAGTGGTTGGGAATGTCTCAAACAAAAATTTCCAAATAAAATGAGATTTAAATCAAAGGCTTGTGGCTTGTCATGATAGAGTTCTGTACGCATAGTTTTGGCAAGTGACCAAACCCATTGTCTTCTCTAATAACAGTCAAAATAGCACAGTATAGCCAGTTTTCGGACTGGTCAATCAAAAATAGCCACCGTTTACCAAGTCAATGAAAGATAGCCACTATTTTGCTGCAACAGAGACCGGTCCAGCATAATATACTGGCGTATTTTTTCGAATTTGAACAGTGTTTTCGCTCAGATTTATCTTTACATGAAAAGTGGCTAAATTTCGATTACTTTTGAAACTGGACTATTTTTGAATGACCTATTGTAAATCTGGCTATATTTGAATTTCACCCCTAATAACAAGCCAAGGTTTGATAGCTTCTACTTTTGCTGAGAATTCATTTTCGAATGTTAAACTTTTTAATCAAGACCAAATATGGAAATAAAAAATTTCTTGGACTAGGGGATGCACTTTTAGGGAATTTCTTTAGTTACTTTTAATTTCCTTTTTATTTTTCTCGATGAGAAATTCTTTTAGTTTTATTTGTCACAATCTAAGGTTCGAGACTAAACCGTCACCATCCAGACCCCCAAACTTTTTCCATTCCCGCGGTGCAAAGGCAGACTTAGGGCATGTGCTCTAATGTTTAACTCGAGCTATATATGAAATATATAATGAGTCACTAATACTGAATCCACTGATTTTAGATTTTGAATTTGCTTTGCGCATAGGAAAGCTCTCCAATATGGCTAATTAATGGGATCCCACGTCTGAAGTGAGTTGATGATAGGCTATAATTGCATATTTTAGTCGCTTATTACACTCTAATTTACTGTTTAATTGAGTTTGAGCTTTAATAGCTAGTGTTTTGCACAATTGTGTGTTTTATGCCTTGTAGGAATGATTCCGAGCTATGTAGATGTTATGGAATAAATTCAAGTGATTTGAAGCTTTGAAGTCTGAGTAAAAGCCCAAGGAATTAAGCCGGGATCGTGTTCGGGGATCAACGGATGATAGTTAAGAACGAACGAAGAATTGAGTAGGTATATTGCGCACTGTCTAGTAAAATGCACATAACTTTTTGCTCAGAACTCCATTTGAGCTCCACAATATATGGTTGGAAAGCTAATTCAAAGGGCTACAACTTTCATGTTTTACGCTTTTCCAAATTCCAAACATAATAGGGTGAAAAATACGCTACAAGTACGTGGCCGCGCACTGGCCGGGGATGTCAGGCAGAACACTTGTCAAAGTGCGCGGTTGATCGGCGGCCACGCACGTCTGTCCGGGAAAAGTGTCATTTTTCGCGTAGGAGAAGGTATGGTTGTTTCGGCCTGACCCTACTTGTTATATATACATGGAAAAACGGTATTTTTGAGGATTTTTGTCACGACCCAAAATCCACTAAGAGTCGTGATGGCGCCGGACACCGCAGTCAGGCAAGCCAACCAAATTACTTAATTAAATTCTCGTTTTAAATATTTCTGAAATCTCTCCTTTTATACGTTTAAGCTATACATAGTAAATTTCACTGAATAAGAAAATGAAACCTTTAACAACTTTTAAAATTCTGAATAAACCCATAGACATCCCCAGAACCCGGAGTCACAAGTGCATGAGCTATTTCTAAGAAACAATACAATACAACATCCGTTCGGAATACAATTGGACCGAAAGTAAATACAATGCATTGAAAGAGACTATACTAGCTGCGGGACGCCTCGAGTAATGTAGCTCACCTAGTCCCAGTATCATCCATGCTGCTACGCCCAGTAGGCCACTAGAAGTACATGTGCCTGTGCAACAAAAATGCACAGAAGTGTAGTATGAGTACAAAAACAACGTGTACTCAGTAAGTATCCCGCCTAATCTGGAAGAAGTAGAGACGAGATGGCAACTTCGACACTTACTAAAGGTCCGGTAATAATATTATTAATGCGATGACTCACGGATTTATTAAGAACAACAGTAGGTTCAAGTGAATTACTAAACACGTAAAAGTTCCTCTTTATTAAAAGTCTCCGGATTCATAATCCATTAGTTAACAATTTTCTCAAATCGGGGAGAGCAGATAGCAATATCAATAAATCTCAAGGCAAGCAATACAAGCATGCGCAACTCATGTCGAGGTCGTACGGCCCGATCCAACATAAATGTAAAATGTGCACTGCCGAGGGTCGAGCGGCACGAACCATAGATGCATCTATTACCCCGCTCGCAAATCATACATGCGACGTGGTCAAATTTAAATAAACAATCACCCTGCTCGCGTACCATACATGCGACGCAGGCACACATAGAAATACATGCTCAAACAACAAATTAAGAATTTTACGGGGAACATTTATCCCATTAGAAGCCAATTCTCTTTTAATGATTTAAGGAATAAAATTTAATCCTCTTAGAAATTTATTTACCAATTCGATAGGATTTAAGAAATTCAACTGTCAATAAGATTGTAATTATTCCAAGTATAGCATGCTTTTGGGTCCTAGACTACCCGGACTTACACATATTAGTAGCTACACACGGACTCTCGTCACCTCATGCGCACGTAGCCCCCACAAATATGAGCACATAACCAATTATTTTACCTATGGGGACAATTCCCTCTTACAAGGTTAGAAAGGAGACTCGCCTCGCTCTGGAAATCCATAACCGGCATTCCACGCCCTTCCAAAGACTTGAATCGATGCTAAATACTCCAAAACTAGCCAATGATTATGTAAATTCATTAATATACGATAAACTACTCATATTAATCCAATTTATAACAATTCCTAACCCCGATCGAAAAGTTGACAAAATTGCCCTCGGTCCCACGTCCCCGGATTCCGAAAATTTTCGAAGATTAAGCTTATCCATGACTCCATGAACTCAAATATATAATTTAATCTCAATTTCATACCCAAAATCGTGGTCAATAAGAATATCAATTTTCTAGGTCTTCCTCAAACCCCCAAATTTCTACCAATTTACATGCTAAAATCCATACATAATCGATGTATTTAACTCAAGATAGGTGGGATTAGCTTACCTTGTCGTTGATGATGAAAAATCCCACTTGAAGCTCTCCAAAAAATCGCCCAAGCCAAGAAAATATGAGAGAAAATGGCCAAATCCCGATTTTTAAAACACATCTCTGCCTCCAGCACTTTCCGCACCTGCGGTCCCTTGACCGCTTCTGCGGTCCCGCAGGTGCGAGCCAATCTACCGCTTCTGCGGTTTCCTCCAGGCTCCCATTTTCCGCTTCTGCACCTCATCCACCGCAGGTGCGGTCCCGCTTCTGCGGCTCCATGAACGCATCTGCGGTCTCTTCACTCCTGGCCAAAACCGCATCTGCGGCTCTCCTGGCCGCTTCTGCGGCTCTCCTGGCCGCTTCTGCGGCTCCGCACCTGCGGCCCAAATTTCGCAGGTGCGGTTATATCAATAACCAGCAGCTTCAGCCCTTTCAAAAATTCCATTTTCGATCCGTTAACCACCCAGAATCCATCCGAGGCCCCCGGGACCCCAACCAATCATACCAACCAGTCCCAAAACACATTACGGACTTGCTCGATGCCTCAAATCATATCAAACAACGCTAAAACCACGAATCGACCTCCAATCCAAGCTTTATTAACTTTAGAATTTCAAACTTCTACTTCCGATGTTTAAACTTATCAAATCACGTCCGATTGACTCCAAATTTTTCACACAAGTCATATTCGACATTATGGACCTACTCCAACTTTCGGAATCGAATTCCGACCCCGATATCAAAAAGTCCACCTCCGGTCAAATTTCTCAAAAACCTTCAAATTTCTATCTTTAGCCAAATGGCCCCAAAATGACCCACGGGCATCCGTATTCACTTTCGATCGCGCTCCCAATTCAAGAATCACCATACGGGGCTACTCCCAGATTCGGAATCCCAAACGGACATCAATAACACTGAAATGCACTGCCATCCAAACTTATGAAATTTCTTCCAAAATGCTAACTTCCAAAATAGGCGCCAAAACGTTCCCGGGTCATCCAAAACCCGATCAAGGCATACGCCCAAGTCCGAAATCATCATACGAACCTGTTGGAGCCTTCGAATCCCAATTCCGAGGTTGTTTACTCAAAAATCCAACCCTAGTTGATTCTTTCAACTTAAGCTTCCGAAATGAAAATTCTCCTTTCGAATCAACCCCGAACTTCCTGAAATTCAATTCTGACCACGCGTACAAGTCGTAATACCTGAAATTGAGCTACTCATGGCCTCGAACTGCTGAACGGCACGCTAGGGCTCAAAACGGCCGGTCGGGTCGTTACAACTTTTGACGTAATTTAGACCTAAGGAGGCTGATGAGACCGGGGATTCGACCTAAGGAGGCAAGAACACACTAGGAGCAAGGCGGGGAATTCTTCTACGAGTTTTTCACTTCCTTCTTCCTATTTCCATTATTGGTTATGAATTCTAGTATTGTAGTTATGCATACTATTATGAATAGCTAATTTGTTATCTAGGGTTTTGATGGAACCTATTGGAGGATGATTTTCCTGTTACGTTAATATAGATTTGCTGTAGTATTTTCTCTATTTGTTCAACTACATTATTATTGTGGTTGGTTGAAGACCTCTCAATCGACTGTGCCTATTTAGTGTGTATTACTCGGAAGAAAGTGCATATTTAGGTAGTTGTTGAACAACATCACTCCTAACATATATGAGAGATCAATACGAAGGGCTTAAAGGTGGGATTAGGGATCACGAAACCTTGGGTGCGATCCGAGTGAGCCGTACTTAAT